GTCTATGTTCATGATGAAGGAAATAATTGTTTAAAATGAATATATGATTAGCCATTGTTTGTATGACAATAGTCCAGAATAAGAGGTGCATAGCAAAGCGGACTTGGTGAGGGGTGGGGTAGGGAGGAAATATGCAACAATGAATGTTTTTTTTAAAGTGAACTGAGTGAGGATAGCTAGGAAAATGTGCAACAATGAATGAATGAAAAGACAACTTTTCTGTAAACTTTTGTTAAAATCACAATTTAAAAAAAGTGAAGGGAACTTGACACACTTTCTGTAGATCAAAGACTACAGCCGTCAGCATAGATTTCAACTCCACATCTAGGAAAAAGCCTCACCACTGGGCCAATAGGTAGCACCATGATAGAAGGAGAAAAGATTTGAAGTTTTCAGTAATTTAATCTTCCTTGGATACTCTTGCTACTAGCAGTCAAGAAATTGGTAGATGCATTACACTGGGAAAATCTACTGTCAAAGACCTCTCCAAAGTGCTAAGGAGCAAGTATATCAGTTTAAAGACTAAGGTCACCTCACTCAAACCACAGTCTTTTCAATTATTTTCTATGCATCTGAAGTTGGACGATGAAGAAGGATGCAAAAGAAGAATTGATGCCTATGAGTTATGGTGTTGGGGAAGAGAACTAAATATCCCATTGACTGCCACAAAAACATGTATTCTTGGAGAAAATGCAATTGAGTGCTCCTTAGAGATGAGGAGGGTGAAGCTTCATTTTACATACTTTGTGCATGTTGTTAGAAGGGGCCAGTCCTTGGAAAAGGACATCATTTTTGGAAAGGCTGAGAGTCAGCAAAAGAGAGGAAGACTCTCCAAGGGGTGGACTGATGTGGTGATTTTAAAATTGGCTCAAGTATATCAGAAGTGCTAAGGGTGGCACAGGACAGGGAGAAGTTCAGATTTGTTGTTCACAGGGTCCATATGCATGGTGGCACTTAACTTCTGAGTAGTCTTTTATGAAAAAGAGCAGAATAGACCCAGATACACATCCTGACAAAAGAAAGATGTCATTCTCACTTGTAAGCAAAAAATGTCAAGAAATCCACAAGACAGCAGAAAAGAGGTCCACAGAATGAATCAGTGTGGTCAAGACTGATTTTCACTTCTTGTTCTAGAACTGTGAGAAAATAGACTTTTTTTTTTAAAGCCACCAATTTGAGGTATTTTTCATTATGGCAGTACTCAGGAACTAATTAGAGGAAGGATCATCAACCACCTGTGATATGCAGATGACATTATCCTTCTCCCTGAAAGTGAAAAGGACTTGAAGCACTTACTGAAGAAGATTTAAGACTACAGTCTTCAGCTAGATTATACCACAATACAAAAAAACCCCTAAACTCTCACAACTGGACCAGTAAGAAGCATCATGGTAAGTGAAGAAAAGATTGAAGTTGCCAAAGACATCATTTTACTTAGATCCACCACCCGTGGAAGTGGTGATCATAAAATCAAACAACAAACTGCATTGGGCAATTCTGCTGCAAAAGACCTTTTTAAACTATTAAAGAACAAGACTGTTGCTTTGAGGATGAAGATGCTCCTGACCCAAGCCATGATATGTTTGCTTGATTCATATGCATGTGAAAGTTGGACAATGAAAAAAAAGACTACAGAAGAATTGATGTCATTGAAATGTGGGGTTGGCAAAGGATATGAAATGTTTGCTCTTTTGGCAGGGACTGCCAGCAGAGCAAACAAATCTGTGTTGGAAGCAGTGCAACCAGAGTGCTTTGTAGAAGCAAGAACGGGGAGATTTTTCCTCACATATTTTAAATGTGTTATCAGAAGTGTTGGGAGCTCTGGTGGCCTAGTGGCAAGAAGCTGCAACTACAATCCCAGAGGTGCACGGTTCGAATCCACCAGATGCTCTGCCGGGGAAGGAGGGGCAATCTCCTCCTGTACCAGTCAGATCTGATTTGACGGTACACGCACACAAAAATAATAAAATAAAAAAAAAAAGAAGTGTCAAGTCCATGGAAAAGGACATCACACTCGGAAAAGTAAAGGGTCACTGAAAGAGAGGAAGACACTCCACAAAAGGAATTTCATAGTGACTGTTGTACACTGCTGAGTTGGAACTGACCCATAGCTGACCCTCCAGTGGGTTTTCAGGAGAAGTTAATCACATGGGAGAGGACTGCTCATCCTTCGTGGAGCAGTTGGTGGATTCAAACCATGTACCTTTGGGATTGCAGCACAGCTTCTTGCTACAAGGCCAGCAGGGCTCCCTACATAGTGATTAGAAGAATGGATTTAAACACAGCAGAGATTGTAAAGTTGGCACAGGAGTGGGGAGGGCTTCCTTCTGTTATACATAAGGCTGTTGTGGCACTAACTTGACAGCTCCTGACAACAGGTAATCAAGACAAGGTTTCAAGGTCTAGCCTTTTGCCTGTTGTGTGTGGTCAAGTTGAGACTTATAGCTGACCCCTCTGACAGGTTTTCGGAGGCAGTAAATCAGACAGGAGGAGACTGTCCATATTTCTCTTGTGGAGCAGCTGGTGAATTTGAACCTCTTACCTCTGGGTGGGCAGCACAACTCCATACCACTAAGCCACCAGAGCCCCCTAGTGTTTTGCTCTTATTTGGATCAGTTCTAAAAGGCATCCTGGCTCAAGACCCTGAAGCAGGTTGACCCAGGCTGTCATTCAGGTCTGTTTTGCAGGTTAGCCTCTTCTTATTCCTAGTCCCACTTCTTTCTCTTTCCTTGCACAAGTTTATCCCCAAGAGACACCCCTATTAAATCCTGTATGCTCACTTCTGTCATTCCACCCCATGGTTGTGTGTCTGTGTGTGCGTCTGCACATGAATGAACAGCCATGTCTTGCAAATATCTGCACAAATGGGTGAAAGCTGTGTACACCTCCTCCCTGTCAGCCCTCTATGGGTAGGGACCAAAAGACTAGGCCAATCCCTTTGGGGCCCAGACTGGTTTTTGAGGATCCTGGGCAAACGCTTTGGGACTGAGAAGGTGTTGGGGATTTGGTTGGGGGCTGAGGGTAGCATAGATGTCTTCTTCCCCAGAAGTCCAGGAGCAGCCCCCAGGAGGGAGCTATGGGGCACTCAAAAAGAGATAGCAGGGCCAGGGAAGGGGATCCTTGGCCCCTTGTACCTGGTGTCCACTGCTGGTGGCTCTAGGAAGCCCTATGGCTTCTTAGTTGCTCTGGCTCACATCTCTTCCTCCTTAACCTCCAAGGATCCTGAACGTGGAAGGGGCTTCTTTGCAAGCATGCATCTGCTGTGTCCTGTACAGTGTCGAGTCCTGGTTCAGTCTGGCTCAGACCAGGGCCTGACCACCTGAGAAGGCTGCAGTGCTCAGGGGCTGCAGACCTGGTGATAAAGGCCTGTCTGAGAGAAGAAGGATGCAGGCAGAGGGCTGGGTAAGTGAGGACGGTGAGAGACCTGGACGGCACGGTTGTTACAGAAATGTTTATTACAAGGATAAATATATACAATAATGGGGCGTTAAAATCGCTGATCTTGGGTGCTTGGAACTTTAGGAGATGCAAGGCGTGGAGGGCTGGGAAATGCCCAAGATTCTGAAGACACAGAGGGAGGGTCAGGGAAGGTCTGCGGTGGAGCCATAGCCTTGGGCTCTGGGTGAGGCACAGGAATGACCAGGACCCCAATCATGCACAGCAGAGTCCTGTGGCTCGAGCCCCAGTGTACCTGGCAGCCTGAGGTGTTGCCCCAGCCTGCCTGGGTACCTCTCACATCCTGATAGGAACACCCTAGCGCTGGGAGTGTTGGCCAGCTGTGAGTGAAGAAGCCCCAGCGCTGGTCGGGGGCTGGGCCAGGACTACACCCCAAGAACCCAGGGTCTGTCTGCTAGTCCTCATATTCAGAGGTAGGGAAAATATCCTTGGTTTCTGAGAGGGAGGCCCGACTTCCTCCTTGATTTGCACAGTGGATGGCACCCTCGCTCCTCACAATTAAACATGATTATATGAAAACAAGTTTCTTAGGGAAATTCCACTCATCCTTCTAGGCCTTGCTTAAGGGACACTGCCTCCAGGAAGCCTTCCTGAGCGCTGCCATGTCTGCTCTGTGTCCTTCTTCTCATCTCCACACCATTCCCCAGCAGTAGAATCTAGGGCTCTGGACTCAGTGGCTGGCTGGTGGCTGGTCTCTCAATCTCCCTGGGATAGTGCCAGCTCAGAGTGTCGGGACCAGGAAAGGACGAGGCAGGGTAGGGAACAGGGACAAAATAGGGAACTCATGTGGCTTGGCAATAGTTCAACGCCCTCTAGTCTGTCTGTTATTGCACCTTTGCCATTCACTCCTGCTCAGAGAAGCTCTAAGAGTCTGCCCTTAGCTCAGAGTTTGAATTTGAGGATCCCTCCCCTCTATTTAGAACACACAGTGTCCCACAAGCCCACAGGAGAGAGAAGCAGTTCACTCAAATTGGAAAGAGCAGGAGGCCCCTGCATTTCACCTATTTCCCTCCTGTTTGGTTGGGGCCTGTGCATTATGGGACCAGAACGGGACTGAGAGAAGCTCAGCTGTCCTCAACGTGGAGGCTCCTGTGGGCTGGGTGGATCGAGTCAGGTCCCCTGTCCCTCCAGCATCCATTTCCCTTTTTCTCTGTGCAGAAGCTAGTAGAGTTGGGTTGTGGGATGTTTGCAAGACAAGGGACCCTCTAGAGAATGAGCCAAATCAGCTGAACCCCCAGATTGCCTCAAGCTCTGCCTGGAGGGCCTGGGGGCGCTGGGGTGCAGCCCTCTTCTCTTCTGCCTCCCATCTACAGCCTGGGTTCAGGGAGTGGTGCCCCTGGCCTTTCTCTGAGGTGGGAGCAGTGGGCAAGAAGTGAAGGGTGAGTTCTGCTGGCTGCAGGCTGGCAGGCCTGTTCCAACAAGCCACTCTCACAGGTTGTCTTCGGGGGCCAGGGCTCATGGTTCCCTGTTGGGTCTGAACCCCCAAGCTCTGGTGCCTCCTTGTATGGAACAGGGGGATCAGGATGCTAGGTCCCCCCTGGCCACTAGCCATGGCCGTTCTGGGACATGTAAGCTGCTAGTGCCACCACCACAGCCACATAAAGGCCAGCCCCCACGGCAATGGAGAGGGTGGCCAAGAAGAGGGCCCGACGGGAAGTGGTGCTGGCCAGGCGGAAGTCTCCTTTGGAGATGGCCTTGCTGGTCTAGAGAGAGAGAGAGAGAGAGAAGCACTGGTGAAAGGAAGCATTCTCATGCCCAGGAGAGAAGCAGCACTGGCCTGCCAGGCTCTATTCTCCACACCGCATACCCCCCAGGAGAGGGAGCTGCTGCTAAATCCTCCGGCAGAGGAAGATGGCTAGAGAGGGAGCCCATGACCCTGGGTGCTCTTACCCCCTGGGAGAAGTAGAAGGCGGCAATGCCCAGTGGCCAGAAGCAGCAGAGCATGGAGAAGATGGTGAGGCCCAGGTGGTCCCTGGGAGGCATCGTGAGGAAGTTGTCTTCACTCTCACTCTCTGTCGAAGTTGCATCACTCTGCAAAATACACGGGAGGTCTCATGACCAGGCCTAAGGGTCGAGTTGGCCTGGTCAGGCTGGAATGAGTTTGAAAAGAAAAGGGAATCCCAGTGGAGCAACAAGCATTGTCAGCTGCTGTTGGTGGGAGTAAATTTGGTTTACAACTCTAAAAAAAACCCAAAAAACCAAAACCAAAGCCTTAACAATGACTCAATAATTCCATTGTTCGGAATTTACCACAAGGGAAGAGTGCAAGGATAGATATGTTCTACACAGGACGGTGAATTGTGAAAGATTAGAGACAACCTAAATGTTCACTGACCCAGGAGAATGAGCTAATAAATGATGGAAGAGCTTACAATGGAATATCATGTAACCACTAAAAAGCCCATTGTAGACAAATAGCAAATTGCTTGGAGAAACATCGGATCATGTTGTTTAAGTGGGGGGGGAAGTCTAGTTATATTACACAAAGTGCAAAAAACAACAAACAACTATACAGGGCAAGAACTTCTTTAGAGAGTGAGGCTGGGGATAAGGAAAAGATTGAATCATTCCCTGAAACACTAATAATGCCGTCTCTGAGTGGTTTTCTATACTGAGCTGAAACAGCTTAAATAATTAAGAAATGAAAAGAACAAATGCTGTAAAAATACCATTAAAGGACTGAGAAAGATGGGATAAATTATGTATACTGCACTGAAACAGATGAGGGAGAGAACTGTTTAAAAGAGATATGTGATTAGGTATTATTGTCATGACAGGAGTCCAGAACGAAGGCTGCATAGTGGAGTGGACTAGGGGAGAGGGATTGTATAACAATGAAAGAATTTGTCTTTTACTTTTCAAAGAGAAGAGAGAACTTGGGGGGAGGGGTGGGCAGGGAGAAAAGTGCAACAATGAATGAATGGAAATCATTTCATTAAAATTAATAATAATTTTTTTTAAAAGGGAGCTCTGGTGGCCTAGTTGCACTACCAAGTTCAAGGCAGGTGGTTTGAATCCATCAGCAGCTCTACAGGAGAAAGATGGGCAATCTCCTCCCGTGCAATTTACAGCCTCTGAAAACCTGATGGAGGTCATCAGCTACAAGCAAGTTCCAACTCGACAGCACAAAACAATAATGACAACTTGAAGAAGGAAATAGTCCAAGTTAGTGTTTCTTCAAGTGTGGCTCACATTGGGAGTCTGTTAACATGCAGTGTCCTGGGCCTCATTCAAGGCTGAGTAAACCCAAACACTTGGAAGTGGGGCTGAGAAACTGCATCTTAACATCTCCCTCTAACTGATATGGACGCTTAGAAGTTAGAGACCTTCCATTGCTGCTTCTCTGGAAAACGTACCTCATCCTCCTCTGGGTCATCATCCTGGCCTTGCAGCTCCTCGTGGACACCGTAGGACACTGTCTGGATGGTGACATCGTCCCCGACCAGCCCAGGCTCAGAGGACCTCTCTGTGGGCCCAGCCTGTAACTCCCTGCCCTCAGTGAAACTAGTCTCACAGCTGCCTGCCCTGGGCTCCTTGGCCTTGTCCCTCCCCAGGAGACAGCTGGGCCTGTACCAGGCCTCCACAGCCAGCTGCAGGGATCCAGGGTCCAGGAGCTGGGTGTGTGGTGGGCCAGCACTGCCCAGGAGGTAGGAGTAGAGCTTCTCCTGGCAGGACCAGCTGGGTGTAGGCTCCGGGTAAGGATAGGGGCCGTGGAGGTGGGCGGGGCTCCGAGGCAACAGTGGGTTCTGCAGTTCACTCAGACTCTCCATGGTTCTAGGGGCAGCTGCTGGGAGGGCCTGCTGGGAGAATAAGACAAGCAGAGTCAGAGGCCAGCTGCAGACATGGGCCAGAAGTGCAGATGAGCACAGGTTACTGAACTTCTCAGAGCCAGTCTCTTTGTGAATGGGGACAGTGATAGCATTTACCTTTTGGAGTTGCTTCATTCCTCCACCCAACCAGCACACGTTTATTGAAAATCACTTGCATGCAGGCATGATACCAGATGCTGGGGTTATAGTGGTGAGAAAAGGCAGGAAGTGCAAGCCTCTCCCTTTACTCTACACTCTTCCTGTCTGCTGATTCACATACATCTGGGAACATCTCCTAGAAGGGTCTCCAGACTATTCCTGGCCTGCAGATTTTGGATTGGCCAGCCTGCCACATTCGCATGATACGATTCCTTGAAGTAATTCTCTCTTTGGAGCTATCTTTCTCACTGGTTCTGTGTCACTGGTGAACCCTGACTAAGAGGCCTGCCTAGCTTTTTGGTCTGGGGCTTCCCTTCCCATATGCAAGGTGTTCCCATTGAGCTCCTTCCCTCTGATTTTCCATGCCAGGTTTGGGCTGCTCACTCAGGGCCTGGTGAGATGTAGCAGTTTCTTTCTCCCCATCTCCTTAAGCGGCTGCAGAGGCTAAGGAAAGGAGAGCTATACAGTTTTTTAATGGGAGCAGAATCAATCTCCTGGCTTCCCAATACCCCCTGCGCTCCCATAATCCCACTTTATCCTCCTACTCCCCACCATTTGGCCTATTCTCTGAGAATACAGGACTTGGTTTTCAAAGGTCACCTGCATCTCCTCCAGCTGCCCTGAATGTATGGTCCCCTCACTACAGTCTCAGGAGTCTTTTAGTCATAGCCCTGGGCTGCCTTGTTACCCCTCAGCAGAGGCCTCCAGGGACCTCAGAACAGAACACTAACCTCCCTCTTGCTTCAAAATGAGTTCTTGGCAAGTCTCTTCCTGATTTCCCAGAAGACGAATGGATACTTATGGCCAAGAATCTGGACCTGGAGCTGTGGGGACCACGGGGACATATATGGGGTTCTTGTCCAAGCAGGAATCCTTGAATGGTACAAACAATGCGTTTGGCTGATAACTGACAGGATGGTGGTTGGGGTTCACTCAGAGACAAGTAGTGGTCTGCTTACAAAAGGCCAGCCACTGTAAACCCCGAGGAGGCGCACCTTCCTGCTCTGACACATTTGAGGTCACTGTGAGATGGAATCTACCTGATGGTCACCGGGGTATCCCAGCCCATCCTCCCTCCATTCCTGCTGGCCACTGTCTTGTGGGCCATGTACACCCGGCTGAGCCTCCGCAATGCAGCACATGGAGCTGTCCCAGGCTCACCCCTCCCTGGCTCTTGGAGAATGTCTTTAAGCAGGGCTGCTCAGCACTTCACACACAAAGATGTGACAATCCCCAGCTTCACACAATAGGGGGAAACTGGCAGCCACCTGCATGTCCAACAATAGAGGACAAGTTAAGCAAACTGATTCAATACAGTGGTACAAGGCCTTTCAAACGGGTTCTGCAGGAGAAAATGCTCGTCGCAGACTCCACGAGAATGCGGCAGAGGAAACGGCCAGTGCATGTAAGCTCAACTCCACCAAAATGTCAACAGTGATTATCTCCAGGGGTGGGCGCACGAATGCTTTTCACTTTCTTTTCATTTTTTCTAAACAATGAGCTTATACTACCGTTTAGAACCAGAAAAAAAAAAATTAAGTGCACAGAGGTTTTTTGTGTGTTTTTCTCCCCCCTGAGCCAATTTATCTAAAATCACTTTAATATCTCCACAGGTTGGGGGGGTTCTTTCTGGGCTTGGCAGCTGAGCGAGCACACACACACACACACACACACACACACACGCTTCCAAAAAGCAAGTGAAGTTAGGGGTTATAACAAACGTCACAGGCCATGGGTCTCCACACAGGTCTGACTCCTCTAATGACCTAGTAGGGTTACAGGGACAGTTTGCGAGTTAATCCTGACCTGCCTTTTGATCTGTTACTTGGGTCTCTTTTTCTCTTTCTCTGCTTCCTGGACTAAGGCACCAGCATTTCCTACAGACTCACTGGATCTCTTCTGGGCTCTGTGCACCTTCCAGGTGGTCTGCGTGGTTGTTTAAGTACCTGCTGGTGAGGAGAAAGCTCGTGTGTGCGTGTGCGTGTGTGTGTGTGTGTGTGTGTGTGTGTGTGTGTGTGTGCGCGCGCGCGCGCGCGCGCGCAGGTGTATGCATGCACTCATGTTTTGAGAGGAAAGACATGAGAGGATCCTGAGGCTAAAATGATGCCTCCAAAGTGTTTGGGGCTGGGATGAAGGCCCACCCAGGAGGAGAGCAGAGAACTGAGCCTAGGCCCTCTAATTTGGAAATGAGGAACACACTGCCACCTCACGCCTTCCAGGGCAACAGGATGCCATCTAGGAATCTATGGAAGTCCAATCGCAGCCTCCTACCACCAGGAAAATAAACAGATCTGTCTTGGAGAGGGTGAAACAAGTTTCTCCTCGGAGGCTAGAATTTTGAAGCTCCATCTTGCATACTTAGGGCTGGTGGCTAGGAGGGACCAGTCCTTGGAGAAGGATATCATGCTCAGAAGGGTGGAGGGACAGTGCATAAGTGGAAAACCCTGGATGAGATGGATTGATATAGTGACTGGGCCAACGGGGGTAGGTGTGTTGGAATCAGTGAGACCGACTCAGAACGAGACAGGCTTCAGAGCTGCTGTACATAGGGTAGCTATGAGTCGCGGGTGACTCAATGGCACGGATAACTGTGGATCAATCCCATCCTTCTCCAACATGGATAATCATGCAGTGCAGCCTTGGCTGCCTAATCTATAGAATGTCTGGGAGAGGTAAGAGTGGTTGATTTTTTTTAAAAGCTCAGCCTAATGTGACTCCAGGATTCTGTTGGGAGAAGACTAATAATAACTTATACTTATTGAGCTACTTACCATGTGCCAGGGCAGAACTATTCTAAATGCTCATTTTGACTCTATAATTACAGTGGGAGAATAACAATAGGATAGGGGGCTTCCTCTTCCAGCTGTAGCAAATGAACTCGTGTTAACCAAACCTCCTGCCAGTAATAGTTAGGAAAGCTAGAGAGGAAATGTGGAGGCCTTAAAGAGTCACCAAGGGAACAGGGACTCAAGGATCAAGGACCAAGGACCTCAAGGTGTTGAGGGTCTGGAAAATAGGGTATCAAGGAGAGGTGACCCTAAGTCTTGCCACTACGTTTCCCATGGTGGCCTCCTTCCTGATCCACAAGGGGTAGTACAGAAGCAGAAACTGAGAGATCTTCCAACGGAATGGGGGACTGGGGAGAAAACTGGATCTTAAGAACTGTTAAGGAGGAGGGACCCTAGTAAATACCTCAGATTTTAACTTTAGATCTCTTTACAGGTACCCCTTAGAAACAAGAGAAAAGGAGAAACAGACCAGCTTTCAAAGGGACCAAAACCAGGCTTTCAATCAGTGGCACTCCTAATTGGATTAAAGTGGTCTGCAAGCAGCCTCCAGCCCTGGGTGGTCCAGCTAATGAGCTTGGCCACTAAATAAAAAGTTCCAAGTTCCAGTCCACCCTGGTGATTTAATTAAAAAAAAAAATTAAAATCAAGCACTGAAAACCTTCTGAAGCGCAGCTCTACTCTGACACACATGGGGTTTCATGAGTGAGAACTGACTCGGCGACAGCTCAGACAGGTATTGGCACTTAGCCTAGCTGCCTGCAAGAAGAAAAGTGATTCCAAGCCTGAGCTTGCACCAGCATCACCCAGAGGATTCGTTAAACCCAAACTGCTGGTTCCCTTCCCCACCCCCAGAGAGCATATGATCCTAGGACAGGGGCCTGAGAACTTGGATTTCTAACAAGTTCTCATGTGATGCTGATGCTGCTAGTCAGGGGGGCACATGTTAAGAACCACTGCTCTCATCATCACTGGAAGAACAGTGAAAGGATGCATAAGCAAAAAATGAATAATTGAGGGATATGGGAGGATAAGAATACTTGATTACCCCAAAGGAATGCAAGAAAAGATAGAAACAGCAATATAGTGCAGGTGACACGATAAGAAAGCCAACAACATGATGTTAGACTTTGGCACATCACTGTAGGTTGCACTGCTAACCCAAAGGCTGCATGCTTCTCTGGCAGTTCTAATACACCAGCAGCTCTGAGAGGGAAAGATGGGCAGTGTCCTCCAGTGTGACTTACCGCCTCAGAAAACCTTCTGGAAGCACATGCTGACTCTGACTTGACAGCAATGAGTTCTGGCACGATTGGTAGAGAACCAGGGAAAAGTAGGCATCTCATAATAGCTAAAGCAATGGATTAAAACAGTAATAAAGAAGATGAGAAAGGATTGGGCAACCTTTTGTTCTGTTACTCACAAGGTCCCTGGGACTTGGCACCGACTTGACGGCACCTAACAATAACATATTAATAATGGCATTGAATGTAAATGGAATAAAAGAGCCCATAAAAAGGCTGAAGTAGTCTCATAGTGCATAATTCTATTTATGTGAAAGAGGGTAAAACTTCAGTGTTAGAAAGTCCGTTGGTGGTTGCTAAGGGCAGAAGGGATGGGGAGGGGTCTCAAACGAGGACAAGGACATGTGGAGTGGGGACTGTCCTATATGTGGATTGTGGTGGTAGGTACATGACTGCCGATGCCTAACAAAATTATATATCTAACTATGACAGGTTTGGAAGCAGGAGTGGCATCCAGTTCCTAAATAACATGCCTCCAGAAACTCTCTGAACTTTGATAAATGTTGATAGTTGTAGACGGGCTTCAGGCCTTTCGTTCACAGGGTTGCTATGAGTCGTGCTTGACTTGAAGGCAATCAACAAAAACAACCACTTCAAATAGTAAATTTTGTTATATAGATATGATACCTCAAAGATAATTTAAGAAGCAAATTCCCAAGACAGACTGGATTTAAATAATGGCAGCACAATCTAACTTTATGCTGTTTATAAG